CTACACAAAATCGCTTGTCCCGGCTCCCTTCCCCCACCCCTCCCACACCACTGCTTTCACTTGTTCACTTGCAGTTCATCCCCTTCCCTCTCTGCTCTAACGGTATACTCTTTAGTCTGCTTTATCGTGTCTCACGGTGTTGTCGCTTGCAGATTTACTTATACTTTTTCTTCAACCCTGAAGATGGGGGCGATACGTTCCTCCGAAACGTCGGTTAACACCACATATACACGGTGCCAAATCCCAGAAGACTGCATTCTTCATAGTCACCGCCGTGAAAGCCTCAAATCTTATATGTGTATTAAGTTTTCCTGTCTTCACAGCAGTAAGTATTCAGACTGTGGCCTTTTTGGTTGTGACATGGTGCCATACAGTAGATGGATACCATCGTTCTGATGAACATGCTGCTTCCATCTTCAGGCCAGAGGAATTAGGCTGAGAACATGATTGGGTGACCATGTGAGGGGGAGAGAAGGCAGAACCATATCTGCCCCAAAAGGAATGATAATGCAGAATGTTGAGAAACTGCCCTCTTACATTACTGGCACAGTGATATGGACAGTGGTCCCTCATAACCATGAGGACAGAGGAACACTGCATCAGTATCCACCTATAAGACAGCAGTGTCACAACCCAAAGACCATAAACTGATGATATTCTGTTTGTCTCTGACTCCCACATATACACACATCTAAGAAAACAGTTCACTACAACAGGCTTGTTACTATCAGCATGCAAAATTTTACAAAATATGGACATAAAATCAACAACATATATCCTTCCATCATTCTTCAGGAAAGAGAGATAGAAAACATAATAAATACGAAGTTATTCCATTGGACATGTTACCCACTCCATACATTAATTCAAAATGAACAGCAGTGAAACAAGAAACTGCCAAAGTCTCAGAAATATAAGTATTATTTACTGGGGGGGGGGAAACAAAAAAAAACAATGGCTCATGATTTAGAGCACATTTTACTCTTCAAATTTTAAGGAAAACCCAAAACCATGCAAAATAACTTTAATAAATATAAATGTGTATTTATGTAGTAAAGAACAAAAGCAATATAAAGCATTCTGTCAAGTGTCAATTACTGTCGTACAGTCAACAACAGACTTAAACCTGTCTGAATATTACTTGATCCAAAGACTAGCACATGTAAAGGTAAAAGGTTAAGCTGTCTCCATACTTGACGTAATTAAGCACTATGCCATGTAGGCATATGGGGGAGTGGATGTATAGACCCACGTTTTGTTGATCTTGGCACTAGTTGGTGGTTTGTGGTCAGATTCAAGCTCCAGCCACTTTACCCCCGGTAAAGAGCCCCCCCCCCACGGTACCCACTGGATAGGAGGCTGGGTGGGCCCCAGAGCCAGTCTGGATGACATGGAGAAGTGAAAATTCTTGCCCCCACTGGGGCTCGAAATATGACCCCTTGGTCATCCAGCCCACAGCCAGTTGCTACACCAAGACTAGAACATGTAAATACTGAAATGTTCATAACAATATTTATTATGTCTACAACTGTTTAGATTCTAAACATACTGTGACATGTATACCCATTGCTAGGCAACGACTCAGTAAACACACTCCTGCAAAGCATGTGCATGCAATAAAAGGTTGTCCATTGCTAGGTAACAGACCAGTAAATACGCCTCCTTAACAATAAAGGCTGTGTTTTCTGTGTGGTCCATGCCGAGTGGTTATAAAAGGACACAGTCACACCTTGTGGAAGCAGGTTCGAATACCTCCACCGTGACCCTGCAAGTCGTAGGAGGCGACGAAAAGGGCAGTCTCAAATTTGAGACAGTAATATATGGTCTTGAGTACCAAGAGACTCGGACCCAAGAAGGACTGCGCTGGCAAGGACAAGCAGCATATAAAGACAGACCCGTCCTTTAGTCAGAGATGGCGCCCCACAGAAACAAGACCATAACTGTAAAACAGTAATAAATATCTGGTCATGAGCTCCAGATGGGGCTCGACGCCAAGACTTACTGATTGTCTGACTATCAGTCACAATGTGACTTTGACTCTGTCTTTGACTTTGACTTATAGGCAGTTCAGTTGAATTCTAGCAGTTATCAAGTACAGTTGAAACACAGGACAGCGTTCAGACAGAGTTAAATATAGCAGCCGCCGAAGACAGTTGAAGTCTGGAAGTGCCTACAGCAGAAGAAGTAATTGTGATACTGAAGATGTGAATTATGTAAGTGTGAATAGAGGTGTGCAATAAATTCGCTAGATCCAAGACCGGTGTGAAGTTATTTGTCACATCACACAGCTAACACGTGACAATATTTCTGTGTTGGATTTTATGCTCTTTGTAGTTTATTTTTAGCAGCAATGTCACTAACACAGACTGGACTGTACTGTACTGATGGACTGGATGATAGTCAATAAAGAATCAGAAAGCATGCAGAGGAAAACAATCCTAAGCCTGACTGAGGAAAACCAAGAGAAACCTAAGCAAGGACAGGCAATGCTGCAGTCAAGAATCAAATCAATGTTTCCCAGATACAAGTAGTGTACAAGTGTTACTGTTTCAGTCATACTCTTCTGCGCCACATAATTTGGTTGGTGTTACCAACAAATGTTTTGTGTCAATTCTACCCTGACAATGGAGGCAGTGTGTTTGTCTGAAATGTTGATATCTACCTACCAGATGACATGGTATTGTAAAGCAGAAGACTGCAATCTTTCATCTTCCATTTTGAGTGAGTGAGAGAGAGATAGTGTGTGTGTGCATGCGCTTACTTGAACTACCCCCCCCCCCAGAGGAGAAGTGACCAGTTACAGCCAGGCCTCTCCTCTTGTTGAAGATGAGGTCCCATTTCAACACATGTAAAAGCCCGGAAAGAACAAAAATATGGTCATGGGTCCCAATAAGGCTCAAAACCAAGATTGACTGTGCTGATGAGGACCAACGGCAATTTACTGGATTGGACTACCATGACATGCTTACTTACACTCCAGTTAATGAGATATTGCATTCCAAATGAGGTATGGGGCTGCTGCTGGCATGAATTTGTAAGACAGAGGGATTCACAGTAGACTTAAAATCTCTTTCCAGACTGCTTTCATTGTTTTGAAACAAGAAGTTCTAGGAAGAACAAAGCACTTACTTTCCTTTGATACAACATGGACCACACACAAAATGATGTGGCCAGCAATTCTTCTACTGTTGCGTGTGAATTTGCTGCTATGGGAATGTGTTCAGTGAGCTGTCACCTGACAATACCACAGGGGATACACAGACACATGGACACAGGGTATGTAGGCTAACAACAGAGAAACTCTCAGAGGTGGTGTCTTCTCTGCAGCCTGACCTGAACTTACATGAAGAGGACAACTCTCTGCTCAGGACCGTGGTTAGCAGTCAGTTGCAGCATGCAGAAACCCAACAGTTACAAGACCTAATTACTGAGTCATTGCCAGGCAATGGCCATCACCACAGCACTTCTCTGACTGCAGTATTCCAGCTTTCAGGGACTCTGTCACATATATGTTTGTATGGTATTGTAAGGGCCATCTCTTCTTGCTCCATTACTCTGGCTTACAGGAGTTACAGGAGATATACGGACACAGCAAGGTGAGCTCATTAGCCCCCTTTCAATTTTTTAAAAAAAATTAAGGCTAAGAGTAAAAGGAGATTATAATATCACCTTGCTCTCTGTTTCTCTGCATTTCCCCAAACACCTGAAAACCAGAACAGTTGAGCCAGAAGAGACGGCTGTTGCTAGGTAACAGCTCGGTAAACACGTTTGTGCAGCAACTACGCACAAAAAACAACAGAAGAACTGTTGGATGCTGGGTTTTCTATGCTGTCCATGTTGTCTGCATCATAGCAGATACTCAGTATGTAGTTAATATAATCAGATCTAATGATGTGCCTAAAATGTGATGAAAGCCAATTTGCAGGGCTGAGCAAAATCACTCATTGTTTCATTCATGACAAGGAAAACATTCTGGAATTTCTTCATTAATATTTACTCCGGCTCTTTTGTTTTTTCTATTTCTCCACAGATACAGAACAGCAATTTGAGGAGTTAAGATGTCTTGTATACATGTATCATACAATACTGTGAAATGACGCCTGAAAGCCGGAACAGTGGAACCAGAGTAGACGTTCATTGCTAGGCAACTTCTTGATAAGGCATTCCCACTGCAACAAATACACAAGCAACAACGAAGGAATTGTTAGGAAATGGCGTTTTCTGTTGGGTCTGCCCCGAGACTATATAATGAGGATCCCAAACCAACTGAGATTTAGTTGAGAATCTGCAGTCGAAGATAACTGGGAAGAGATGGCAACAAGATAGATGGCAGTTGGCAGTTGCAGCAGAGAACTGGATTCAGAGTCAACAGCTGAGATGATTGGGGAATGAACAGAGTTCAGTTGACTTGGATGCCTGGCTGTGCACTGCTGTTACAGTGAGACCATTATAAACCTGATGCCAGGATATGACAATTGAAAATTGAGAATACTTAGCATGTTCTAATGATTTGCAAAGTGTGTAGATTAGCTATAGCATTATAATTAACTGCAGTTAAAAGTTGTGTGTTGAAGTGATCAATGAGCCCAATATCCAACCCTGTCTATAATCACACACCCCTAAATACATGGCAATAAAAAAACAGTACTTTGCATGTCTTGCACATTATGTGATGGTTAGTAGTGGGGGGTGAAGTTCTTGCAGTAGCATGGGTAGGAGTGATTTCACTTCCGCAGAACTGTCTAGTGAGTGGAATTTTCTTCTGATGGGTGAACTGAGCCAATATTTACTGACCCTTCTACATTCAGAATAATCGCATATGCTTCTATGTCACATTAAAACATAATTAAAAAGTAAATCAGTATAAATCTGTGACAGTGGACAGCTAAGAATATATAATACTTTGGATCAAAATATTAACTACTGTCAGCAGTGAATAAACTAGAGTCCAATGGAAAAACATCAATGTGTTACATAAATATAATCATGTCTGTTCCTACCCGACCACTTTGTTAGCATCCCACTCGGCATCAGTGCTACCAGACTGCACAGTGTTCCAGCAGTCCTGCTGCTGCTGTAGTGAGGGTGATGCTTGGGCACCATTCTCCAACCTGTGCGTAGGATCTAACCTCTGGAACGCAGAGACATGCCCTACATCCCCTCCATTTGCATTTGGTTGCCTTACGGTCTCTGATAATGATCTGTGATGACTGTGGTGAAGTGCAACGTGACGCCGTGCAGATGGAGATGGAGGGGGAGGGGTGCACCTGCAATTTCAAGTAAACACAACTTGAGCACTGCATAATCAAGGTGTCTTACTATGCCCATCCCTTACTCTCGGTTGGGCTTACAGAGTTTCTGGCACTTTGTCCATTGTCTTGTATTCCAAAAGAACAAGAAGAAATCCTAATCCTTCCAGCTGCACCATTGCCCTGGGGTCAACTCAGCCTCTAACAGAAATGAGTACCAGGAATCTTCCTGAGGGATCTGTGAGCCGATTGTCTAGAGAATGTGGAAGCCTTGACGTCTCACAACCCTACGGACCTCCACAGCCTGTTACAGGGTTAGCTTTACATTTTTTATTTCAGAATACTAAGTAAAAGGTAAAGTTGTCCCCATGCTTAATTAATTATAAGCACTACACCATGAAGATGTAAGGGGGAGTGGATGCATAGATCCAAGTACTGTTGACCATGCCAATAGCTGGAGGTGAGTGGTCAGCTTCATGCCCTGGCAGCTTTACCTCTGGGGAAAGGGCCCCTGGTACCCACTGGATAGGAGGCTGGGTGGATCCCAGAGCCAGTAAGGACATGGAAAAGAGAAAAATTCTACCCCCACGAAGACTCCAACCCTTGGCCGTCCAGCTCACAGCCAGTTGCTATACTGACTGCACTATCCCACTCCCATCAGAATACTAGATAATGGACATCTAGAAACTCAGTAATCCAAAGTGTAATATTGCTGCTGTCAGAAAATCCCTTACAACTGGCTTCTTCTCTATGTGTCCAAAAATGTGAATGCACAACAACAACAACAACAACAACAACAACAACAACAACAACAACAACAATAATGGCACTTAACCCTTAACTTCCGACGTGCACCGATCAGTACAGTGATGGGTATGGTTGAAGTAGCCGAAGTACACCGATTTGTGCAGTCGGGCATTTGAACTCCCTTACCGGAAGCACCCGCACTTTCCGCTAGTAGAAGCGAACGCCCAACCCTATATATTTAGTTTTAAATCGTGTTCAGTTTAATGTACATACCTTTTATGTAGTTATCTGTTTGATGTGTATACAAGTGCATTCCCCTTGCGCCATGTAACTGAATCTTGCTCTTGTTTGGTACTTCTTGAAGCACCCGAAATGCATAGTCCCACGTCACATATCTTGCACTTCAGTTGCCTTTCATTTTCTTCCAAACAACGTATCATTGCCATTTTATGATGATATGAAACCACAATATTCAAATTCACCATGAACTCACAGAAAACTGATTGCACTCTGTATCTCAGCTAGATGCATGTGTTTGTTTATGACTTTAGACAGGGCAATATTCTACCTCAAATGCTGTGGAAGGTCTTGGCACTGAAGAAGGGAACAGAACCCTGTAACCTTCCTTGAACTGCAAAGCTTTCAATTTTCTATCCTTTAGTCAAAAGACTCAAATATCTGAAGAGTGCAACAAAGATGTGAAACTTGCCAGCAGAGAACCAAATGATTCTATTGCTTCCAGCTGGTTTATGGTACCAGAGATGTTAAAATATTTCAAGTGCCTGAAGCAGGAATGATTTTAAAATGCAGAACTGCTCTATGAAGAAGAAGGGAACAATTTTTACAGTGTGCGTCAAAATTACGAGAAAAAATTAAAAACAGAGCATAACTTCTTTGTCTAAATATCTTCAAATCTTACATTACACTATGCAACACTGTGTTCTTTGCTGATTAAAACAAAGGTAATTCCATTCATTTACATGGTGCTATTGAAAAGTTAAAAAAATTCGAATTTTGTGTGTGAATGGTTATGAGTACATCGAAATACCACTAGGTCTCTCCCCACACACCTTTCTTGAATTGGTGTGGCAAGCAGGGTCGAGTTGAGTGGTTAGGTTTATTGTTGGTGAACGTATTTCCATTGTTGTGTTTCCGTTTGCGGTTATGCGATGGCTGACCTCAGAGAGCAGCGTGTCTGTATAACGTTTTGTTTTAAACTTGGGAAAACCGCTGCAGAAACGCACCAAATGTTGAAGCAAGCTTTTGGTGAAAACAGTTTAGGCCAGACACAAACTTACGACTCGTACAAGCATTTCAAAAATGGTCAAACATCGACTGATGATGACAATCGTTCAGGACGGCCATCAAGTGGCACCACACCAGAAAATGTCGCAAAAGTTAGGGATCTGATTCTACAAGACTGTAGACTGATCCTCCAAGACCTCTGTAACACCTTGGGACTAAGTTATTGTACATGTCAAAAAATTCTGTCAGAGGAACTGAACATGAGGATGACTGCAGCAAAGTTTGTGCTATGACTGCTGCAAAATGAACAGAAGCATCGCTTGGAAGTCTGCAGGGATCTTCAACAACCACTTCAAGAGGATCCAAACTTTCTTTCAAAGGTTGTCACTGGTGATGAAAGTTGAGTTTATGGCTACGACCCTGAGAGCAAGCAGCAATCGCTGCAACGGAAGAGCCCTTCTTCACCTCGGCCAAAAAAAGTTTGACAAGTCAAGAGCAACATTAAGTCCATGTTGATCTGTTTTTTTGATACTGACGGGATTGTTCATAAGGAGTTCGTCCTTCCTGGTCAGACAGTCAATAAAGAGTTCTATCATGATGTTCTAAGGTGTTTGAGGGAGGACATGAGGAGAAAACGTCCAGAGAAGTGGCGCACGAACGACTGGGTACTCCACCATGACAACACACGACCGCATACAGCTTACATTGTGCAGGAATTTTTGGCTAAAAACAAGACGGCAGTTGTTCTGCACCCACCGTACTTGTCAGACTTAGCTCCATGCGATTTCTTTCTCTTCCCCAAGATGAAAATCAAATTGAAGGGGCGAAGATTTGATACAGTTGAGGAAATTCAAGCAGAAACGCAGACAGTACTAAACACCCTAACAAAGAAAGACTTCCAGGATGCATTTCAAAAGTAGCAGAAACGCTGAGATCGGTGTATGCGCTCCCAAGGGGACTACTTTGAAGGTGACAGTGCAGAATAAGATCCAGGTAAGACGTAATAGTATTTTATATTATATTTAAGCATCCTGTTGCATTCCACACTTCTATATGTACAATATAAACTCCGTCGGAAATGCAACGCTTTATTGTAGTTCTCGTCCCCTTTCTTTCACACTACATNTGACAAAACTGACAAGGGGAGTTCTGGAATATCGGGTGTCGATTGACGACACAGCAATGAACAATTGGAAATCTGGAGTTTAAATGTTAATATTGAGTCCAGTGTGACAGCTACGTGAAGTGAAATACACCTGATGATGGCCGGTTGCGGCCAAAACATGTAGTGAGAAAGAAGGGGGACAAGAACTACAATAAAGTGTTACATTTACAATGGAGTTTATATTATATAAATAGAAGTAATAGTTTTTATTAATATATTTTGGGACCTTTTGGATAGTACCACATATCATAAAAATTATATTATATACAGCATTTTTAAATACAGTGTAAGTGTTCCAACAGGAACTGACATTTAAACGCAGAGCAGCTAAGGGCATTTAAATGCACACCAGCAGCAGGCATTTAAATAAACTCCGGCCTGCTCAAGCTAACACCATGTTAAAAGTCTGGCATTTAAAGGTTAAGTCTCCAGCTTTTCACCATTCACACCTGCGTCAATATACCAGTAATCAGCGTGGGATTGGAGGTGGACATAGTGATTTTGGAGCAAACCTTCCTCTGAGCACAGGTCAAGAGTCAAAATATATGGACACATAGTCCTCCGTGGTGGAAAAATAATTGGCATGCAACTAGTTTTTCAATCAGCAATCAAGAACTGGTTTTCAGCATCCTGGAAATCCCCACTTGGTTTATGATCCATGCGGCTCTGGATAGAAACAGTCATGAGGGCTTAGGGTGTGGTCTCTAATATGGATGCAGTAACTGTGGTTTATGTGCTACTGGCACTACTTTCATTCAGATCTCTGGGCCGTTTCAAACTCGCTGCACCTGATTTCACGAGGTTTTGGAAAATTAACCAATGTCAGCATGGTTGCAGAAAAACAGTGATGTGCCATTTGCCTGGCAACCAAAACATGTCTGAGTACCAGATTACTAATGTTTCTGGGCATGGAACTAACCTACACCAAAATTTAGGCAGTCAACTTCTCGACAATACTGATAATTATCAGTATTGTTGGGGCTTCTCAAGTAGTGCTCAGCTTTGTGGAGGTAGTTAATTATAATTAACTAACTCCACAAAGCTGAGCACTACTTGAGAAGCCCCAACATTTCACAGAACATGAGGCTTCATTACCATGTCCAAAAGAGCCCTCCAGTAGTCCCTATCCAGAGTCACATGAATCCAGTCCAGACCATTTTAATATTATCCTCCCACCTACATCTAGGTCTTCCTAGTGGCCTCTTTCTTTCTGGCTTTCCCACCATTACTGATAACAGAGACGTGAAAATATGGTGTCCTGGCAACTTTCATACTTTAATTTTAAGACAGGTGATTACAAATTCCTATAAAGCTCAATTTTCAGTCCAGGAGCAGGGGAATTTAAATTCCTGATATTACTGGGATGGCAGTGAGAGTTCATGTCAGGAATAGTGGTTCTGTGTGCGTGTTGTGTGTTCACTGACATTCTGGAGAAACATGATGCCTCCATCTTCAGGGGCAAAGTGTAAGCCAATCTAGCTCCCAGCATCTTACTGATCATGGGCTTGGCTTATATTTTGACCCTAGGCAGTACACTCCTCTGAAACCTTCATGAACTTCTATCAAACTACATCGTGATACATCCCAAAAGATATAAGTAAGTACTCTTCAGTCATGACTGCGAGAACCTCAGATCCAACGACATAAACTTCCTTGCCTCTTACCTCTGAATTGGTGTGTTGCACGACGAGTTAACCTCACACTGCTGCTTGGCTCTTGCGTACCATTCTGCCACATTCACATCTGCAGTCTCATACTTTTTCATAATCGGAAGTTTCAAAAGATCTCTGTACCTTGGCCTGTGCCTGTAATTCTTTGTAAGGCTGAAACAAGAAAACAAAGAGTGTAATATTTTTACAGCAATCAGCAAAAAAATATCCTTGTGTACCACAATCTATGATAGACGTAAAATAAGGACATTCTACTTCCAGATTCTAAAGGGTTCTGACAATGGTGTATAACACTCAGAATTACTGGGTTTTTGGACTTTTCCATCGTCCAGTATTCGAGAGACTAGAAAACACATTTCAGAAACTGGATCTGTTTCTGTCCCTTAGAAAGAAAGAACTCTTTCTAAGGGACACAAATGAGTAGGTGTCTTCCCCCTCACCTGAGGACGGAAACAGATGCAGTTTCTGAAACATCATGTTTTCTAGTCTCTAGAATACCAAAGGATGGAAAAAATCCAAAAAGACAGTAATTCTCAGTCTACTTCTGTTGTACCACACAACATTCCAAGAGTTAGAACAAGTTGTAATATGTTTGTATAATGCAACAATTCTGCAAATTTAAAATCTGTTTAATTATATTGAAAACTCTATGACTTAAGGAAAAAAGTTGCTGGACATAAAACATGTTTCACTTTTCTCAATAACTTGTCTTTAGAACTTTCTCATTCCAACAAATACTTGGGAAATTATGTTGATGACCACACAAGGAAAGCATCCACTACAGCTGTATGTTTCTACACAAACTGGAATGCACTGCCAAGTTTCTTAGCAGAACTCCATTATATAAACTTTCATGTAACTTCATTCAATGGTTCTCAAATTGGTACACATGAACGGAAAGACAGACACACGGTGAAGCTGACATGCATTTTTGCAACCTTCTGTTTGCAAAGGCACCAAAAATCGTCCCATCATGTTCTCATCTGAGAATTTCTGCAGTGATATCATAATACTAACCTATATCATACTGCAAGATGACCACTTAAAATTATAAAAATTATACAAAAATAATTAAAAGAAAAACATTTAATTTAACAAAGAACTAGAGTAAAACCCAAATTAAAGTTTCTTTAGGGAGCAGTGACTTGACCATTAAACTAAGGGAAGTGCTGCAGATTTAACACTGCTATTCCTGATTTAGGACCATTGAAACTGAAGTTAAATAAGAGAAAATCTTAAACAGAAGGTTGCACTGTACACTATCCACAGCTATGTAACATTTCTGCACAGCTCCAAAGTGATTTATTCTGTGTAGTTCACAAACAGATTTTCTTCTTGTAAGTGGTTCATGTCTTCACATGCTTACAGTCACACTGAACACAAAGATGTAAGGTGTTGTCTCCTGCGCTGTGACACCATGTAGCCTAAATGATAATACCAATTCCTGTTCCAAGAGAAAGAAGAAAATGTGGCATTTTGGCTTTGGAACAGAAAATGAAAATATTAAAAGACTGCAAGGAGGCTCAAGATTGTGTGAAAATTGGGTGCTTGTAATAATTTTCTTCATACAACTGGCAGATTCATGTAAACCTCATACACTCTGGGTAAACTCACTGGGGCTGTTATCTGTGCCAAGGTGGAGTGGATCTCCATTCGAGAAACTGTCACCGCGATTAGGGAGTGATGAAACTGATGATGGAGCAATCACAGCTCCTGAAATGTTGGAAATTCATTCCATTTCAAAACAGAAAACTGTCTGAGAACACTCCACTGCAATTAAATGAGTGAAAGCTTCAAATTTTAGCTGAAAACACTCCCCAACAGTTAAACCCAAATTTAAGGTTTGCTTTCAGTGTATCACATCTCAAAAGGCAGTATCTTCAGAGTCAATGGTACGAGATCCTCAAATCATGAACGCAAGTATCATTAAAAAATTACGGTCACTATGCTCAGCTTTTGGTTTCGGTACTCACCAGTATGTGACAAAGTTGCGGAAATCAGGGCTGAACGTCTGGTCTGCAGGAAGTGACGGTGGGTCATCTTGCAGAACTTTTGTTAGTACTTCGAAATCTGTCTTGCAGTCTTTGTATGGAAAATTACCCGTAGCAAGTTCTACTAACGTGATTCCAAGACTCCATACATCTGCTCGAATATCGTAATCTGGCTTCAGAGGGTCTGGTGGATCTATTCTCTCAGGCTGATGGAACAAAGATAGGAACAGATGTCAACAGGTATGATTCATCATATTTGTCAGGCAGCACAGTGAAAAATACAGCTAACTACAAATTAATTAAAATTATAACTAATCACAATTAAATAAGTTTAGGCTGTTTTATGGGTTGCGGGCATGATCAAGACTGGACACGTAACAACCCTAACTCTATGCTATGCACTATTACAGTAGCACTGTGCCGACAACACCCACATTTCAGTTTCACTCTCTGACTATTCTGGAACACGTCACATACATCGAATATATGTACTTCATTACTTTTGATTTATGACATAAATAGTTGTACCAGTTGTAGATAATGGTAAGGTAAAAGGTAAAGCAGTTCATGGAGGTAGGCCTAGGCCCACTGGGGCTGTAGTGCCAAGGTGGGGGGAAGGTAAAGCTGTCTCTGTGCTTAACTAATTAAGCACTATGCCTTGAAGGCGTATGGCGGAGTGGTCGGCTTCACACCCCAGCCACTTTACATCCAGGGAAACAGTCCCTGGCACCAATTGAATGGGTGGGCCCCAGAGCTGGTCTGGATGATGTGGAAAAGAGAACATTCTTGACCCTACCAGGACTTGAACTCCGACCCCTCGGTCGTCTAGCCCGTAGCCAGTCACTATACTGACTACAGTAACCTAGCTCTCTGCAGATAATGGTACCATACAAAATTACACCTTCCTCAATGAAACAGCTCCAAGTTAAATAATAAAAAAAAGTGTTAAGATGAAAAATAACACCAACTTACTGCCATGTATGCTGCACAGCCTGCACTTCTCGTTTTCGCTTTTGAGTCAACGAGTCGGCCAGAGATCCCAAAATCACACAGCTTTACATTTCCTTTCTCGTCTAAAAGGATATTACTTGGTTTAACATCACGATGTATCACACCATGCCTTTCTTTCAGATAGTTCAGCGCTTCCACAGTCTGCAAACAAGTTTTTAGTGGAAAGAAAGTTAACATAAACATGGAAAAAATTTAATTCAAAACTTCCTAAACTATTTAAGTTGGTTGTCCTCTGGAAATTAAATTCATGCAGCTGAACATTTAATATGATTTCAAGATTATTATTGCTTTATTGACTTGAGTTAATAATGAGAATTCTTTCTACTGGGAAGGAAATTTGACAATCATTCAACTGAATTTCTTGTTTACATGAGTGGCGTACTGCATTCAAGATGGTGAGTGATCTCTCCCATGGCCATAAATAGCAGTCAATCATGTGAACATTAACAAAGTTGAGAAACATATTCTGGCCAATTACAACATTTCAGTGCATGATATCTTATAAGTTAACATTAATGCCAGCAACACAAACACAATCATTCCCAAGTGCCTTTGCTTTCAAACATGAACATTCAAGCCTCATATACAGAATGACCAGATGAAAGGTATCCAAAATAAAAAATTCATATCTCAGAAGCTGTCATACATGGATCCAGTTTATGTCATCGGAAAGGAAAACTCTGCAATTTTCTTTTCATGCCCTGCTTATGCGCATGTGCCACCAAGTTAAGAATCACCTGGACAGAGAGATGGCTGGGAGATGGATCGGCAGATGTGAACCAATTGCTTGGCCTCCTAGGTTGCCAGATTTAACTCCAATGGATTTTTTTATGGGGTTAAGTGAAAAACATTGTCTACCAGGTTAAGATCAACGAGCTTGAACAGCTGAAAGCCCGCATAAGGGACATTGTGACTATGGTAATACCAAACACACTTCAAGCAATGTGAAACAAGAATATTGTCACGTGTTGGGCGTATAACGCGACAAATAAGTTCACGCAGTTGTTTGGTATAGCGAATTTATTCTGTTCGCTCACCTTACACACACTTTACAAACATCTGCACTTGCAGTGTTACAATCACTGCTTACAATATTCCGGCCGACACTGGACTCTCTTCTCTGGCGGTTATTCTAGGACTTTATTCTAAGATGGCTTGACCACGACTGACTTCTAAGATGGCTATTCCGAGACTGACTGTCTCTCGTCGAAGCTGGGCTATTTATAACCTCGGCCGCTGCTAGGGATATGAATCCTCTGTTATAGCAGTAAGCATTGCTTTTTCGGTTCCGCATTTCCTACGCAATGACCCATTGTTATTGCATTGTCTCTGTGGGAACGCTTCGCGTATTCGTCATAACCGTGGAGATTCGATGTTCTCTACACAACGGCTCACTGTTGGGATTACAGTGCCGCTATTGTTACTTCCTATGCAATGGTTCTTTTCTGGCGTTTCCACAGAAGCGACTCTTCTGGATTCCAGACACGTTACAATATCATCTAGATATTTGTCGTGCCACCAAGGGAGCCCACACAGAAATTTACTGAGAAAGTTATATACCCAGAAAAAACTATGATACTTTTCCTTCACAATGGTATCACCCATAAATGTGTATTATTATAATTATTTTATTCTTGATAACTTTCATCCAGACACCATGTACTGTACGTTCCATGTGGATAGGATACAGCTGCCAAAACGAATGGAACACAAACTGTTAATAATAAAGGGAAAATACAATTCTATCACAATTCAAGACTTCAATGAGCAAGTAACATGAAAGTTAATGAAGATTAGGGTCTACTAGATAAGATACAATATTGTTTGGTAGGTAGGTAGGTAGGTACCAATGTTTTGGAGGAACCTGTTGCCTCCTTCCTCATGGCAGCCAAGCACTCATTCTATCATGAAAACAGGGGCAGCTGGTTCCTATGAAGTTTTGGTATCCATCTACCAAATATAGGACACCATAAACCTTATAGATTGCATCCTGTTGTGTGTATAATATCTTATGGTTATGACTGTCAACACAACTATAAAACATACCTATATTAAATAAGATACATATCAACATCTGTTTTTGTCTTCACCCAAAGATATTCTGCTTTTAGCTGTGTTGATGGCCATAAACTAATATATAGGGCACCATACACAAAAGGCCAATAATCTTAAATTCTAACTCCCTTGAGAACTAACAATTTCATGAAATCTGTGAAGTATGCACAAAAATATATTTAGAAAATACAAGTATGTGTACTAAAGAATGGAATACACCTTTCAACTCTTGCGTCTCCCATTCTTCACCATCAGGTTTCTGATTTTAGGGGGTCCAGAAAGTCACCTTTGATTCAAGTTAATTTATTTGCTGTTATCACTGGCACTAAACTATAGTGAAACTCACAGCATACGTGACTTTTCCTAAGATATCTTCTGGAATAGCTTTCCTCAGTCTCTTGAGCAGCTTATCAAAACATGTTGCCATCAGCTCCATACAAATCCATACATCTGACTCTGTGATGAAGCAGCCCAGACACTGCACGATGAAGCGACAATCGTGTGACTTGAGAACCACGTCAAGGTCCATAAATATTCTCTTGTTCTCTTCACTGTTTCCCGACCTGCGCATTTGCTGAAAATGGAATGGAAAGTTAAATAACGAGTGCTTGATGTTAGTTTTTGTTGAAGAAACATAACGTTATTAAGAAAGGGAGGAATACATTTTCAAAAGTGCATAATGATACATTACAGTGTAATTAACTTGGAGGCCCCAAATTAAGAATGATAAATTATACAAAATTTACCAATGAAAATGAAAACTGTCAACATGGTGTGCTGCACAACAACACTGACCCAGTGCCTGTCTGTCTGTCTGTCTGTCCAGATCTTGCCATGCTCCAACCCAACATGGTGTGAAGCAGTGCCACTTATACAAACATGGAGTTCTGTATCAGCCTGTGTCTCCAAAAAAGCACTTTTAGCATCTTCTGTGGCCCACTTACCTCCATAGCCACCAACTTGTATACTCAATAAATTGGGTTTTCATCAGTAATTACTCTGTGACTTAACAATTATCAACCTGGGGCCTCTTCATAGTAAATGAGGCACCATGTATTAGACTGAGTTCTGTTGCAGGCTATATCCTACAATGTCTGCAGCACGTCAGTGGAGAGAAAGAGGGCAGAGAAATGAATAGACAGCAAAAAGAAAATTAGAAGCAGACTGATGTATTCCAGTTCAGAAGAGAATGTGCCAAATTATGGACACATTTTTTTTAGTAAAAGCATAAATAAGGGCATACGTTCTTGCTCAATGGATTGAGAGATTTCAAGACTGGGCCCAACTGAGTAAGTTCTACCTGAAGACGAACACAGAATGCAGTCTCCGAAACACTGTGTGTTTTAGATAAAAACAGGATGATGGATAATGTCCAGAAACACAATAATTGTATTAACATACTGTTGTCACAAGCATCTAGCTCTTACCCTCAAACATGTTTTGTGACAATACAAAGTTAGTTACATAACATTAACCTTTATCGGACGGGCCATTTAATTTCTGGGAGGGGCAGCTGGACGGAGTTTATTTGAATGCCTGCCCTTCTAGAGCAATGAAATTGTAAGCGTGTTTCTAAAAATGGTGTGATTTCTACATTTTTTATGATAAACAAATGAAATCAACGCTCCTTTAATCTAGAAAGAATATAGAATCAGATATTCTAATTTACAGATTTCAATATCGGTAAAAATTTTTTACACTGATTCCAAAAAAAAAATTCCCCGAAATTCATACATTTTCTGCACCATGCGTTCTAGCAGTGTAATACATTTTCTGCACCATGCGTTTTAGCAGTGTAAGTCCTTGTGGCGACCTCACATTCAATGGTTTCTCTTGTTGAAACTTATTTATCGTATGGGACATGTCGGTATGCAGGACTGTACGCGTCTGAAATCGCTCGCTGTGTAATATGTTAGAAAGACACAGGAGTACATTCTCGGAATATGGTGTTGCCAGATCAGTCATTTGTTCATTCATTGCAGTCAAACCATTTGTTTGTAACGATTTTGAAACATCGCAATATAAGGTTAGCCACCCATGACATCATGTAGCATCTTTGAAGCAGATATTCAGTTCAGCCAAGACGTGAATGAGATTTTTGTAGGTGTGGGCTCGAGGTTATGATTTATGGCTTCTGGTCGTGGTCTAAGCACAGAGAGATTCATTGCTAGAGAGCCGTATAGTTCACCATGGCCACACGATGACGTCATATGGAAGATGCTGAAATTGAGAAACAGCTGTTCAATGACACAGATTTGGACTGCTATTCAACCGATTCTGAGAGTGGTGAGGAAAGTTGGAGTTCTGATTCCGCGGACGAAGGGTCATCACCTTCGTCGGCAACTTGGGGACTGCCAGACCAGTGTGGCTGGAGAGGTGTGAATAATTATTCCGGTGTAGCTGCGGGGATAAATATCACTGCAGCTCCACACGTGAATAAGGATTCCACCCCTCTCTGCGTTTTCATGCTGTACTTTGCGGGGATTATCCATCTGCTGGTGGAAGAGACGAATAGGTACTATCACCAGTACCTAGACAGACTTGAAGACGGACCATCTCCGCTGCCTGATGTAACTGAATCCGAGATGTTTCTGTTTCTAGGAATAATCATTCAAATGGGACATGACATTAGAGACACACTAAAGGACTACCGGTCGACTGCTGAACAATTTGCCACGCCTTTCTACTCTAACACAATGAAACGCGACCGTTTACTTCACATTCTTCGTTTTCTACATTTTGCAGACAACAGTACAGAAACTGACAGGAATGCTGACAGTTATGACCGACTATGGAAAATTCGGACCATCTTCGACACTCTCAATGACGCATATCAAAAATATTATAACCCTTCTGAACATTTGGCCATAGATGAAATAATAGTTAAATTCAAGGGAAGGGTGGTTTTCAGACAGTACATTCCTAAGAAGCACAAATTTTTCGAAATCAAAATCTTCAAAATTTGTGACGTGCTGTGTATACCTATGACATGAAGGTTTACTTAGGAAAAGACAGGAAACATGCCAGCCAAGACGTGACAGCGACACATGCTACAGTTAGGGACCTATGCAGGTGTATTGAGGGCATAGGTCATAAACTGTACATGGACAATTTCTTTTCGTCACCAGACTTGTTCGATGACCTGATGACAAAGGACATAACGTGCTGTGGGACAGTCAGACCTAATCGGAAGGGCTTGCCTGACGATTTTCGACGAAGATAATTTCAACTGAAGAAAGGTGACATTCGTGTTAGGGTGAGACAGAACTTGACAGCACTAGTTTGGAAGGACAAACGTGACATACACATACTGACAAACATGCAATGTCCTCTAGCAGATGGTACTTTCCGTAATGAGCACGGAAATGCCATCAAACCATCAGTTGTTGTGGATTATAACACGCACATGGGTTATGTCGACAAAGCGGACAGAATGACAAACAGTTACAGCATCAGTCGTAGGACCTGGAAATGGACAAATAAACTATTTTTCCATCTCCTGGATCTGACAATTCTGAACAGCTTCATCTTGTTGTCATGTGTGGCATGAAATTGTCACATTGAGACTTTCGTCTCGCCCTTGTGTGCAACATGGTGGAAGAAGCTGGAAGGGGTCCACCTCGCACTCAAAGGTCCATTGGTCGACCTCCTGCCGTGTAATCGTTAGTAAAACGATTAGAGGAAGCCCGACGACATCACTGGCCTGCTTCCTCTAAATCGCAACTGAGGTGTCATGTGTGCTCTTCGCGTGGGAAGCGGTCTAGCATTCGTACGAAGTGTGTGAGGTGCGACATCAGACTCTGCATTTCGGAATGTTTTTGGCAGTACCATACGAAGGCCACATTACCATAGATGACGCAGGAGGGAAGGCTGTTTCCTCATGAAGATGGTGAACATATATCATGTAAGTAGAGCAAAAATTTAATTTTAAATTTAATTTTAAAAAAATCTTTACACGTGTGGAATGCGCGACATCATATGATGTCGTTCGGCCATTTGGCCTTACTTTTAACGTCATATGACGTCGCTAGATTACATTAGATCATGCAGGAAGGAAGGCTGTCTCCTTATAAAGGTGGTGACCAAAAATCATGTAAATAGAACAAAAATGTATATTTTTAATTTAATTTTAAAAAAAACCTTACACGCGTGGAATCCGCGACATCATATGATGACATTCGGCCAGCTGCCCTAACTTTTAACGACATCATATGATGACGTTCGTCCGATAAAGGTTAAAATGGCACTGGCGTGGGAAAACTTTTTATACAGGAAATGTATCATGCAGCTTAAAAAACGGTAAACTTTGGGGCAATTCTTGGGACCATAATAATTTGAATATCTTTGGGAGGAGGGGGGGGTGGAGAACACCTTAGAGAGGAACCTGTTAAGCACGCTCTGATATATTTATGTGGTTAAACGGTTGCAAAACTACCCATATCCAAAATGGTCACAGATTCTGATTACAAGCAAGTGAGAGGTCCAAGCTGTGAATACCATAAACTGAAATATCTACTTCTTGTAACAAAGCGGACAGTGTGGTTTACCACTGTACAGCAGTATGACATTCCAAGTTATACATCAAAAGTAATGTTATGCATGTGTGGCTGTAATAAGAGTCAAGAAGACTGCTATGATGCAGATTTTGACACACTGGTAAAGCGATGGGAGAAGTATATCAATGTTGGTGGATATATCAAAAAATAAATGTTTTTTCCATGTTTGAATATCATGTTTTATGTTTTATATCCATTTCTGACCTACTTACTGACTCTTCCTCGTACTACAGAGGCTGTGATGGCTGCACATACAAATTTTTTTTATAAAATGGTTCCGAATAAAATAATTTAACATATATAATAATTTTCAATTAAATTCAGTTAGTGTTTATTTATGTGCAAACTTAACAGCACAGAAGCCAATTACAAAATTAGCATGAGTATATAAAAATATGCAAAAATAACTAAAAAACAATGTACAAAATATGAGAGTCTGTATAATGGCAATAAATTAATAATAATTCCAAGAAAAATTAAAGTTAATATTAACAGGCAAGAACAATAAAATAAGCACATTTCCAATGGTTATGCCATTATGTGGCGAGAAAGGACAATACGCGTACATACACACATAGAAGTTAATAACAATAACTCAATTAATTAATTAATTCTTACTTATTTGTCTGCTAACCCAACAACAATTATAGCATATCATAAATGATTGAGGAAAACGTTCCTGGCTCCGAATATGTCAACATCCCTGCAAACAACATTAGCAGCTGATGCACATCTAGCACAGGGACAATTTTTACATGAGGAGCAGACACTGAACAGTGCAAAGTCTCTGATATACCAAGAAGGAACTCGGAGACCAACAATTCCCATAATGGAAGGGCAGAATTTCAAACCAAAGTCAACTTGAGTAAAAAAGTCAGCATCAAGGCAATGCCACCTAATACATGGAGTATACAATTGTAACTCCTCCAGAGCAAGAGAATAGCTGTAATGGACTGGAGGAAAGAAACGACTGAAAAAGAGGGCCACAAACCTCTGCTGGATGTGTTCCAGCTGTTGGCATCAGTTGACGTAGTTGAATTTGGGACTATGGACGCATATTCAAGCTTAGATCTATCTAATGCAATGTACAATCTGAGCATACATTCTAGAGATGAGAAATTCAAAGTAATGCTACAAACTAGACGTAACAACTGTGTGTCATAGTGTTCTTCTCTGTGCTTCGTTTCTTGTAGCAATATTTGGTATCTTTGTGATATGTGAGCTGGTGGCAAGAATGTGGACACATATATACAGCCCTCATGGGCTATACAGTATTATAATATAGCATGAATATTTAAACATATCATCATATATACCTGATGATGGCCATGTGTGGATAAAATATGTCATGAATTTACATAAAACCACAGATTAAGTGGTGATTTGATAAAAAATATGTGATGCTGCATTGAAGACTGTACTGCATGCGCAAACACATACACTCACACACTCACACACACATCTCAAGTAATCAATTAATGCAATAGGATGCTCATATACACATTTCAGGACCTTACATAACTTGTCATGGTGTTGTTAGTAATTTTAGGAAACAAACTATATATAGGAATGGCCTCCAGTGGCATAATACCAATATCAAATTTTTGGAGAATCAGTCACAGATAGCATGATGATCTCATAGAGCTATTTATTTCCCTTAAGGAAAAAGGTTAGACTAAGACAAATCAATATTTTTGGAGACCGAACATAATGAAAACATAAATTACATAAAAGAGAAAATGTTGTATTGAGAGGCAGAAGATCACTCACCTTAACCGCTATAACAGTCTGACTCGGTTTGTGGAGCATTTTGACAACATGGCCGCAGGTTCCGTTCCCTAATTCGCCTTGGTGCTCCAAGTCCTTAATCTCCGTTTTGTATTTCTAGAAGAAAAATGATCAGAACTGGCATTGGCAAATGCTGTTGGTGAACCATCAACAAAACATGGTTCATCCATCTATTCCTATAATATTTTGCGTCATGTGTACAGAGAAATGTGGACCATTATTACCAAGACTTCTGTCAGCGTACATTGTGGACCGTATCGCAGCAACTAAACATCACAGCTGCACTTACTCCAACATGTTCCCCCCTCCCCTTCTACAGTCAAAGAAGGAAGTGGGGGGGGGCACACTGCTTTTACAACAGGTTCTCAGTGCTACAGAACATGACCATCACAGCTTTATACCATTTCCTTCTACACCTACATAACATCAGCTGTGCAAGTACAAGTATTATGATTGTCTTTACACAATTTCAGGTTAACATACCAACAAATGGTTCAGCATTAATGTTTCATGAATGTAACTTTCTCAGTAGGTCATTAACCAATAAGCAGTATTCGGTTCCAGTGTATCTACTGTGTCTATTCTGTGAGTACTGGTGATATTCTGATGCACATAGAGCTATTCCTGTAACAAGCTGTGGAGGCCCACAGCATTATGAGACATAGAGGCTCCCCACATTTTCAGCTCACAGATGGCAGTGAGCCTTACATGCTCACTGCCCTTTACCCCCAGGAAGATTCCTGGTGCTCTTTAGGGGATGAGTTGACCCCACAGCCATAGTGAGACTGGAATGATTTGCTTGTAAGTAATGTGAACAGCATAGATGTTAGCACGTAATCTATAATTTCTCTGTAGAAAATACATGTTCAGTGCACACAGCATCATCTTTACTGTTTGCATCCTGGTGTGTGTCATGGTCTGTGGTATTCTGCCCATCAACACAACAATGAAAATAAACCAATCAAATTGTTTACATTTGTTTTATTTAATAACTGTTACATGTTTCAGTCCACATTTGGAACCATCTTCTAGCAGTTTCATTAAATACATCTCATGTTACTGAAATATTCTAATATGGATCCATACCAGTGTTGAACATCATAATCATATAATACTAATTTTAACTATTACAGGCTTGTAAAAATGTTTCCAATTTAAAAAATTTTTTAATTTTAAAATTCTCTCGTCATGATGTTGTAAAATTCTATGTTATTTTGTACCGCATTGCAGGTGGTATTTCCAGGCCAGCAAACTCTTAGTGGGTGTTGTACTGCTTTTGTGTGAATTGTGGACATCAGCAGTGCACTGTAATCGCTTGCATCTCTGAGTCATGTGTCATTCATTCATTCATTCATCTGTAATCTGTCAAGATGACAGGTCCACAGTCTCTTCCAAAACAGTTACTCCACTTGATGCAATCGAGAGCTTTCTCCTTCAAATAAAAATATCCTCTTCTGTCCTCAAGGTCATCCAGCATCTTCTTACGTCTTCTTCCTCGTCTTCTGGTCACTTCTATCCGTCCCTCTACCTTTCCTTCAATAACTTCTTTTAGAAGGCAGTTACCGCGTAAAACATGACCAATCCAATTAGCCTTCCGTTTTCTTATTTCTTGTAGGATATTCCTCTACTCACTGACTCTAATTAACACTTCTTCATTTCTCACATAATCGGTCCAACTGATCTTCTCCATCCTTCTCCAACACCACATTTCAAAGCTTTCCAGGTGTTTCTTATCTACTGCCTTAAGTGTCCAAGTTTCAGCCCCATACAAAGCAATGCTCCAAATGTAGCATTTCACTAGTTTCTTTCTCAAATTTAAGTCCAATTTGCTGGTAAAGATTCTTCTTCTTGCTAAATGCAGCTTTTTCCATGGCAATCCTAGATTTAATTTCACATGTACACCTTCCATCATCTGTTAGCAAGCTACCCAAATATTTAAAACATTTCACATTCTCCAGTTGTGTTTGGTCTACCTTTATTGTGACTGGGGTTGGTTGTCTCAAAATTTTCATTACTTTTGTTTTTTCCACATTCATTTCCATGCCATAGCACCTTCCAATTTCGATTAGTCTATTGATCATACCCTGTAGCACAGTTTCTTCCTTAGCCATTAACACAAGGTCATCTGCATATTTCACAGTTTAAATAATTTGCCCTCCTAATTTGAAGTCTCCAGGCCCACCCAGAGCTTCCTTGGTAAGGCATTCGCTGTACAAGTTGAACAGAATTGGTGATAAACAGCATCCCTGTTGAACTCCTCTTCCA